ATTAGGGGATCACTTGGGAAAAAATCTGTAATTCAAGACTTCTTTATTGTTTTATTTTCTTATTACAAAAGCAATGCATGCTTATTACAGAAAATCAGGAAATACATCCAAGCATACCAATATGAAGAACACTAATAATACCACCCATGAGCCAACAATTATTTTAATCCTTGAAAATGTTTTTGAGGTCTTTTTCTTAGCATTTTGTTTTTGTAAATAAAATCAATTCATATTATTTTGTAGCTAGTCAGTTAATTGCTAATTGCTGGATGTTCCAAATTAGTCCCACATTGTTGGATATTTTCTTGGTGTTAGTTACATTAGAAGTTTAAAAGCAAATATGTAAGGTTTATTGGTGAATAACCAACAAGTCTCACATGAAAAAGTTAGGTTTACAAATTTCAAACAAATGATCATATGAACAATACTTTTGATAAGATTGCTTAGTCCTTACTGGTTTGGCTCAGTGGATAGAGCATCAGCCTGTGGACTGAAGGGTCCCAGGTTCGATTTTGTTCAAGGACGTGTACCTTGGTTGCGGGCATATCCCCAGTGGGGAGTGTGCAGGAGGCAGCTGATCGATGTTTCTCTCTCATCGATGTTTCTAACTCTCCCTTCCTCTCTGTAAAAAATCAAAATATATTAAAAATGATTGCTTTTAGTTAGATACTATCCATTAGACCACCACCTTTTTTTTGATAACTCAAACTTTTAAAATTATTTTATTTATCATAAATGGGGAACATCCCAGGCTAAACTGTCTTTTTAACTTTGTCAATTTCTAGCAAGTAAGAATTTTTGCAACTTCCAAAAACAACATATAAAGACTAACTTTTATACTGAAATATGTTTAGAACATATTTGGACTGGCCATGTATGTTTGAATGTTTCCTAAGAAGCCATTACGTACTTTATTTTTTAATATATTTTATTGATTTTTTACAGAGAGGAAGGGAGAGAGATAGCGAGCTAGAAATGTCGATGAGAGAGAAACATCGACCAGCCGCCTCCTGCACACCCTCTACCAGGGATGTGCCCGCAACCAATGTACATGCCCTTGACCAGAATCGAACCCGGGACCTTTCAGTCCGCAGACTGACGCTGTATCACTGAGCCAAACCGGTTTTGGCAGAAGCCATTACTTTATTGATTCAAGTTCTGTTTCTTTAGGATCTGTTTATGGGCTTAAGCTACCTACCGTTCTGCTTTAATTTTCATTAGTTTCTCCATACACCGCACTATAACCACTTTACATAGCATGTTTTCTACAAGCTTCTTTCCTAATGTTTAACTGAAATTTGCCTATTTATAACTTAATATCCCTATTTTCCCTTGCCTATTATCAGAGCTTACAAAAGAAATTAATAAATTTTTGATCTTGTTTAAGTTCCTTTTCCCTGTGGTGTTGAAATTGGTATCAAAGAGGAAATGTGTTTAAGAGGGAAAATAAAGGACTTAGGTAGCCCAGAAATAGATTAAAAACAATAAGCAATTGATAATTTTGATAACTGTCTTTAAGGACGGAGAAAAGTGACAGCTTCAGCCAGGATTAGCAGGAGACGACAGACTTCTGAGGCTGACTCGGAAAGGTATGTTATGCTTGTGTAGGTGTATTTTTTTTTTTTTTTTGTCTAGAAGTAGAGAAAAATTGTATTGGTGCTTCTACTGGGACAGAACAACTCAATATTTAACAAGATAAGCAGTGAAAACCATACATGGCTATGTCTTGGATTCCACTGTCAAGAGCATTTGACTTCCTATGGCTTATTTGCTTTTCTCATGAGTTGGCATGGCCTTTATTATTAGGTAGTCATCTTTAGTACGTTCCTTCAATTTATATTTCCATGTATTCTAATTACATGGTGGTCTGTATATGACTCCTCTAATTTTGAATTAGCAACTCTTGTGATTTAGGTTTGGATTCTCTACAGTTATAGCTACAGAACAATTCTGCCTATAATTTGGGTATAGTGTTTGTATTTGATTTCTGCCAATTAGCCACTGTTGGAAGCCGACAGTTGTAGCTCTCTTTCATTCACTTATTCATGGTAAAACTGTATCCTTTCAGTACATGCCTTTAGATTAAGCTGTGACTAAATTTAAAAATCTTTTGGGGGAAACATGCTGTTTATAATGTTTTAGGATTTTATTGCCTAAATCAAAAGAACCTAATTTTCTTCTTCCATTTCTTAAAATTCCCCCAAAAAACTTTTGGGCAGTTGTTATGGTCCCTGTTTAATGACAACCTTAATTACAAAAGTTTTTTTCTTTCTTATGAATAACACTAGGCTCCACATGATATAAAAAGAAATTAGCTAGGTTTCCCATGCTTTCAATTTGCTGGATAGCCAGTCAAAATGTTTTGGTTTTGGTTGAGATTTTAGTTTTAAGCTTAGTGGAATCAGGTTATTAATTACACACTGTCAGAAACAAAAAAACGCTTTATTTATAAATAAACTGTGGTTTAAAAACTTGTATTTAAATTGATGTATTTTCAAAATCTATTTAGTGATCATGAAGTTCCAGAGCCAGAATCAGAAATGAAGATGAGATTACCAAGACGAGCCAAAACAGCAGCACTAGCAAAAAGTAAAATGAACTTGGAGCAACTTCTCAATGAAGAAATAAATTAGGGGAAGAGATGATGGAGGTGGAGTCCTTTTACAAATGTCTTTTACAATTATTTTTAGTTCTTTGCCTTAATAAACTTAACTCTTGTGTCAACATTAGAAAATTTTGTCTGGTGTCTTATAGGACTTTCTGCCAAGTGGTTCCACGTGACTTTGGCCTGTAGGAAAGCATCAGGACACGTCTGTCAGTGTGCTCCACAAGCCATCTGCATCAGTCACAGGGACTGCATCCGAATCGGAAGTGGGCCCAGGAACCTGGTTTTAAACTGGCTTTCCAGATGATGCCTATGAACTCTATGCTTAATGCATGGCATTGTGGGCAACTTTTAAGTGTAACTAGCTAGTAGTTTGCATTTGAGAAGCATATGGCCGATCAAACACAGATGAACACATTTCCAATCTCAAAACACATTTAAAAACAACACTCCAAGGGCAAGACACTGTCAGAGCAGACTAGTATAATGAACCAGAGTACTCAGCGTCCAAGTTCAACAGTTCTCGTTTTGATTTTGTTTTACATTTCTTATATTAAAAACATTTTTGATATGCTATCTGAATGGGTAGTTTTCCCCTCTAAAATGCTGTTCCCTGGTCTGGGCTGATGTTCACATGTACATATTAATCATGGACTTGCTTTCTATTTTTTTGGCATAATAAAATTCTTATGGTGGATAAAAATACTAGTGGGAAAATAATGTGACAGGAAGTCCTCTATATACTAATTTATGGCACTGTTTTTTCATTATCAACTTCACTTATTTTCTGGAATTGGCATTTGCCTTACTTATGAAACGTGCATTATGAAACCAGTCCCCTTTCCTCAGGCAACCCATCACAGCCTTTTCTTATCTATCTGGTAATTGCCTTTTCTCTTTATTCAGAATAGAAATGCCCTAACTTTGGATCTGTTTTATTAATTGTGCTTTATTTAACAGAGGCCATTTATTTAGTGATGTTCTAAGATGGAGCTAAAGATTATTGTGCTTTTTAGAACCAAATTGCTATATTACATACATATAAATGCACTTTATAAAACTCAAAAATAAAAAGGAGTCTGAAAGTTACACAGAATGCTTATTAAACAAAAAGAAAAGGCAGATATGGTGATGATATAAACAATGAAAAATAAGTGAGTTCCATTCTGTTGGATCTGTCTTTTTCTGTGCTTCAAATTCTTTAATTCTTCTTTGTTAAATCCCTTTAAAAAAATTTTGTTTGGGGAGGGGCGGGATGGAGTAGGTTGAAATAAGGACTTAAAATGTCCACAAACAAAATTCCATTTACCTCATAGCCAGGCTATCCAAAGAGCCTACCATACTTACATGGGCCACCATATCAAAGCTTTCTTTATCTGGCTGGGAAAAACAAATTAAGCACCAAACCTTTAGTATTCTTACTGTTCAAGTTTTAGACACGATCACATAAGCCATTGTTGAAGCCATGCTTTTGCACTATTAAAGGTAAGGAATATCCTGATTAAAAAAAAAAAATCCCTTTACACTGTAAAATAAATGGCTACAATACAATAAAATCAGTAGATGTAAATCCATTTACCATTTTTCTTTCAAAACTGGTAACTTAACAGAAAGCAAATAGTATTGTCTGTAAGAGGCACAAGTTTGCTGAAGAGTAAACATGCAATTGTGCTATTGAGCTCACAGACTTGAAAGGTTTAAAAATACAGAGAAAGAAAACTGACCAGCTCAAATTCTATGAATGGAAACATGCTACTTGATAAACTGATCAAATTTTCTCTCTATAACTTTGAAAATGATATTCTTCTAAGAGATACCTTTGCCTTTCACCAATTCGAGGTAGTTGGTATCCACCAGCTTAAAACTGTTCACGGGTCAGGTCATCATCACAAATCTTTACACTTCCAAATCACGCAGTATGTCATATATTAAAACTTTGTGCACAGAAATAAAATTGAGGGCAACTATGTATTTAAACGTAGGGCATACAAATTTCACAAAATACCATTAGAGAGAAAAACATCAAAATCCATTGTACTGCAAAATTCCACAATGGTCTGATGTAAAACATGTAAAAAACATACAAAGAATATAATCAAAGTGATTAATGCTAATGATATAAAGACAAATCACAGGACTAGAAATATTTCAAGATCAATTGGTAAATGCTTATTGTTCAGCAGAAAGAATATTGACGTACAAAATAAGGATAGTGCAAGAAGAACTGCAATCTATTTCTCTTCACTTGTGAGATTTTGGTTTTGAACTGTACAGCTTGCTAGAGATGCTGTCAAATTCAGATTCCATTCAGTGGGATGATTAAGGCACATCTTAATGGGACTCAAAGGGCTACTTGCTGTATTCCCATCAGACAAATTCAGTTTCTCATCATTTTTCATTTGTAGCATGCTGGAAAAAAAAAGTGTAAAGCATTTCAGTTTTACTTCAAAGAAATTAACTACCTTGTAAAAGAAAATTTAGTTTTATTATTGGGACCTCTAAACATTAGAGTGGATAGAGCATGTATTATCCTGAAAGTATAAGTATTTTTTTTTTTTTTTTTTTTTAATAACTCCTGCCTCCTTAGTGAACAATAAGCCAAGTACTTGAGAAGCTGGTCACTCAGCTACCACTGGATAAAAAAGCTCCACTGCATTTACAGATTTCATCAGTATATCTCAGAACTGCACTTGGCAGCGTTCATCCCTTTTAATTTTTACTTCAGCCTACCAAGAATCAGAGCCACCCTGAGACAGGAAGGAATTAACCTTTGTTGAATGCCTATGAAGCACATTCACATGTACTATCTCATCTAAATTTCATAACAAGCCAGGTTAATATATTTACCCTCATGATAAATGATAAAAGTGAGTCTTAAGAGACTTACATACAAATATGCTGAGGTTACAGTCACTAGGCTGGAACTAGACTACAGTCCCTGCTCTTGCCCTTATGCCTGCCTATTAACTCTGATGAGAAGCTTTAGACTCAGCAACTTGAGTGTCCACTCGACATGCTATGCACACGTAATCCTGAGCCTTAATGAGAGTCAGTTCACATCTTCAGATGTGACCATTACTTATAAACTAACAGCTCGCTATACATTAGCTCAGTTGATATTTCCTAAGCTTTATGTAACCACACAGGTCTATGATCCCATTAGTAAAGAGGAAAATGAACAGTGTAACTAGAATTAAGTGACTTGGAGTTGGTAAATGGCAGCAGCATTCAGACCAGTAGAATTTCCTGATCCTTGCATCCTCAACAAAATGTCTCATTTGCCATTCAATAGTAAGCCAGAGATTAACCTGTTATACCATAATTTAAGAGCCACTATGTTCTGAGTTTTCCCCAAACAGTCCCAGTTCCAGTGAAAATATGATTTCTATGTATATGAAATAAACTGTAATATTCTTAACAAATATAAAAACAAATAGAAAATAAGTCAAAACAGAGATGCGAATATTAGGATTCTATTTAAAGTAAATCATGGCCTGATATGTGACAAATCAGAGATCCAAAGCAACATTTTCATTTATGTTAGAAATTTTAACTGATTTTTGGTAATATTTATATTAGTTACTATTTGACTCGTGTGTCTGCATGGATCTCAAGTTCTTTTATTTTTCAAGTTGGCAAAGCTCAGATAAAGCAGTAATGTTTTCCTTTCCTCCAAGGATTCTAGTCTTCAGTTTTTGTGTTTACAAAACCAATCTGATGTATACTTCTTTGAGAAACTCTAAGGCAGGCCATGAAAATACAATTATATTAATTGTGGTAGATAAATACATCAAGTATCCAACAAATCATGGTCATAAAAAACTTGTTTTCCGTAAGTTAATTGATTAACAAAAATGTATTCATTACAGAAGAATACTTTAATAAAATAACCACATGATTCTTTGTAATACTCTAAAGACAGTTTTTTAAAGAAAACTTTCCTAGAGAGTATAGTCTAAATTTGGGCACACAAGCTCCAGGGAGGCACAAAACTACAAATGGATAGGAAAAAACAAAACAAAAACAATGTTGGTACAAATACAGATTGACATGTATAATTAACCAATATACACTTAAACCTAGGATTCTATCAAAAGCTTAGCAATAGTGTATACAGTAGCATTCTTGAGAGTAAAGATTTAGGGGAAAGAATGTAAAGACCTAGATTCTAATTCTGATACTAATAATAATCAGGCTTATTGACCTTGGACAAGTAACCTTAGCCCCCTTCAGTTTAATTTTCCTCATCTGTAAGAAAAAAAATGACAACTTCCTTGCTTACCTTCTATATTCCTGATGATCTAATGAGAGCCCATTAACATGCTCTAAAAACCACACAGAGCTATAGAGAAATGCAAAGGGTTAGTTAACACTGCATATTTTGGTGAGAGGAGGAAGAAGCTGAAAGAGAGGCTCTTACTGTAAACTAGACGGTAGGTGAAAACTGAACAAGGCAAGGGGTGCTGAAATGATTATCTCAACATCTTTCCTATAATACAGAGGGAAAATGGTGGCACCCACAGCCAATAAGGAGGGAATATGCTAATCGACTGGCCCACCCTCAAAGATATCAGAACCCACAGCCACAAGGTGGTGGTGCCCAGTCCCCTCAGCCCTGCTCGACTGCCTGGTCCGTGCACCTACCTCCAGAATTCCCCAGTCCCATCAGCCCCCAGCTGTCCACGGGCCAGCCTGAGGCACAGGCAAGCCTCAAATGGCAGCTGCCCAAGGCTCAAGTAACCAGGGCCGGCCCAAGGCTTGCACTGTCGGCAGAAGCAGCAGCAGAGGTGTGATGGGAGGGTCACCTTCCCCTGATCACCATCTTGCCTCTTGCCCCTGAGGGACCCCCCCACCCCCCTCCAGTGCATGAGTTTTCATGCACTGGGCCTCTAGTTTTTAATATTTCAGGGCTTTAATACCCTAAATGACAGCTTCTATACTATTTGAAAGGAAGCTTATTGAATACTAAGGCCCGGTGCATGGATTCATGTACTGGTGGGATCTCTCTGCCTGGCCAAAACTGGCTCTCCAACATCCCCCAAGGGGTCCCAGATTGCGAGAGGGCAGTTCTTGGGTGATGTACCCTGGATTCGGGCTCCTTCTTTTCTGGTTCCAGCTGCATTACCTGTAAGCCGCTGCCAAGTCACCGCAGCTCAGCAGCTCCTGCATTGAGTGTCTGCCCCCTGGTGGTCAGTGCATCAGAGCTATCAGTCAGACTGTTGCTTAAGCTTTTATATATATAAATATGCATTTGCAAAGTATGAGATGAAAATTCTTTGTGGATCATAGAAATACAGTTATGATTTGTGACTTAATGGTTACTGGTAATTCTAACAAAAATAATGTTATAAAAATTCAGCTCTAATAACTTAAACTTGCTTTATTACTGGAAAAATGTTATGGTTCATTTCTGTCATACAGACAACACATTTTAATGCAAGCTAGCAACTGTAGGAAACAAATAAAATTTACTGTGACTAAGGTCTGAAAATAATTATGGAGCAGTTGTTATATGTCAGGCACTATGCTAAAAGTCCTTTTTACATCACCTCATTCAATTCTAACAACACATTGAAGCTCAAAGATGTAAGATGACTTATCCAGGTCACAGAACATAAAGTAGAAGTCTTCAGGGCCTATGATCTGTGATTGTACCCTGCATACTAACTCTTAATTTTGTCATGATTCTCCATGTCAATATCCACTTAGATAATACTTAAAATATGTCAGATCTGTAGATTTTAGACAGAAAGGTATCCCAAAGGGCTATAGTAATAACTATCTAGGAGAGCTATATATTTAGAGCATGAAGTTTCCTCATATTTAACTAAATAAGGAGCTGCTAGTCATATCTTTCAATTTCTCAAAGCACAGAAAGAAAGTGTTAAGGCATAAACTGATATTTTTGAGGTCTACCATTTAGATTGGGTTTCACAAACATCTTTTCAAAGGCAGAAAGAAGTCAGCTGTATGGGAGGGAGAAACTGAATTTTGTGTTGGGATTTGAAATTGCAATAGCTACTCTAAACTAACTAAAACCATTGAATTTGAACTCATCCGTTTTAACTTCAAATTCTGGAGTTAGGTTACTTTGATGAGTTACTTTATACTTTTGCTATCACCATTTTCTTCTCTTTTATTCCTAACCCACTCCAATCTGGCTTCTAGGTCTTTCACTCCATAGAAATAGTACTTAATAAAGTCACCAGTGATGTCTAAGGTCTGATGTTTAATTTTCAACTTTTTGGCCTTCCTAAAAACATTAAACACAGTTGACTGTTACCTCTACTATAGACTTAACTGTGTTTATATGTTGAAGCCCTAGCTCCCTATATGAAACAATACAGGGCCTTTAGGAGGTACATAAGGTGAACTGAGGTCAGAGGGCGGGTCACTAATCTGATGGCCTTGGTGCGTCTCTAAGTAGAGGAGACACCAAAGAACAGAAAGGTGGCCATCTGCAAGCAGGATGAGTGCTCTTACTAGAAACAGAACCCTCCAGACCTTGATCTTGGGTTTTCTAGCCTCCCAAACTGTGAGAAATTAAATTTCTGTTGTTTGCTATACAATCGACGGTTTTATTAAATAATTTACTATTTTAAAAAAATCTATTTTATTGATTTTGTACAGAGAGGAAGGGAGAGAGATAGAAAGCTAGAAACATCAATGAGAGAGAGTCATCGATCAGCTGCCTCTTGCACACCCCCTACTGGGGATATGCCCGCAACCAAGGTACATGCCCTTGACCGGAATCGAACCCGGGTCCCTTCAGTCCCCAAGCCGACGCTCTATCCATTGAGCCAAACCGGTCTCGGCTACTATTATTTTTTTTATGGCATCCCAAGCAGAATAAGACATCCTCTTTCTTAAAACATTTTTTCTTTTTTCTTTTGAGACAAAACACAATTATTGGCTCTCCTCTGCCTCTTTTTTCTACTGCATGTCCTGCTCATATGTTTGAATTTCTCAAGGTTGACTCCCAGGCCTTTTTTTCCTTTTTTTTTCTTCTTATCCTATCATCTCTTAGGGGTTCTCCTCCTAATCAGTTTCAGTCAGCAATGATATCCTAGATGTCTCCACTCTACTACAGCTATGCAATACTTCTTCCGAAAGCATTTTCCTGAGCAATCAACCTAAATAGCTAGCTCCCCCAAGAAATTCCTTGTGCCTTCTAATTTCACTACCACAATTTACCACTGTCTCGTGTTTTTATTTTATTTTTTCTTCCCACTAACATACAAACTTGGTGAAAGTAAAGATTCTTGCTGGTCATATATCTTTAGCACCTAGCATATAGAAACTGGATATATATTTACTAAAAAAAATAATTAATAAATAAAATCTGGGGCTTCCAGCTACGAAGAAGACCTGATAGAAAACATTTTTTTTTTTCTTTTTTAAGACTGGGT